CCAACTGTAAGTGGCGAGATAAAGGCCCAGAAAGCCAAAGTGGTGGAACCAACTTAAAATACCGTTGTTCCCAGGGGGTTGGAAATTGCTAAATTACTAAAATAGTCCAAAAACCAGCCGACTGAAGCTTATCTTTTCTCGAACATCATGACCAAAAACCCAGCAAAAGATGTCCGTTTTTTTGTAAAAAATGCGGCCAACCAAAAGGGTGTATACCAGGGCGATGTAATGGGGGAAATAAAATTCTGAATAGTCTGTAACACACAAAAAAAACCCAAAATGACTCAAAATGAGAAAGCCTCAATCTGTAGGGCCTGGTATGTAAAGTTCAACCTTGAAATTTGGTCTTAAAACCTCGCCTTACTGGAGTATATATGCAAAAATGTTTTCCTGAATTTTTCTCCAATTTTGAACAAATTTTTATCTTGTAGTATTTATTTATAGTAATTAAACTACATAATTAACATTTTTTTTAGATGACCCATTTTTTATAAAAAAGAACTTATGCAAAAATTGGGGAATCTTTATTGAGGAAATGTTTTGCCACACAGGGGCTTCATCAGCCAATAAAAGGGAAAAAAAGCTGAGGGAGATTAACTCAAACCCTCCTCTTTTTTACATGCTTTTTCTTTATATTGGACCGATAAAGCCATGGGCAAAACGTTTCCTCATAAAGACCCTTGTTGCGCATTTCTTCTCACTTGTCGGTTTTCTAAACCTTTTCATGCGAAGTATCAGTCTGGGTACAGGGAAGGGGGTTCAAATGCATTCCCATATTAACTGTTCTGTGTTTACCCTTTTTTAAAATTTTGCAAATGCATTACTTGCAATAGTGAGGGAGTACAGAACCCTGTACCTCGCTGTGTGTACCCAAAGGAGCCATACCTCGACTAGGGAGGCTTCAGGCCTGTATTCGGACGCAGCTAATAATCTTACAGTTAATTCTTAACTTCTTTATTTAAAATAATCTTAACTATTCATGGGGTTAAGATTTGGTATTATTGGATAAAAACATAAAAAAATTATTTGTACAACATTAATTTTTTAAAATACTCAAATACCCAACTCTAGAAATAATAAAAATTAAAAAAATAAAAATTACATTAACCTCAAAAAAATTTAAAGTGAAAATCTCACCTACTAATAAAAAATGTTTAACTTTCAATCAAAAAATTTTATATAACAAAAAACATATTCAGTTTAAATAAATTACTTGGTTAAATTTTCACCCCCAATTGATCATTTGACAATGTGGTATAATACCATTCATTAACAATTGAAAAGTAGGGGCTTCAATTTTTTGGGAAAAATTTTCACCATTTTCAATTTTTTATTGTAAGTAGGAAAAGGATTTAGAAAAAACCCCATCGAAAGCAAGGAATCTAGTCATGATCCCACATAAAATCAAACTAAGTGTTAATTTAAAGGGCTGCATCAACCTTTATTCATATTACTAACACATAAAAAAAAAAAATGCTAAGCTTGCATGGGTCATACAACTAAATCTAATTTCCTCCCCATCCCCTGGTGCTATATAACCCTGACCGTTTAACTCACCCCCCTAACAACGTAATAAATAACAAAAATCATACAGGTCTTTACTGTAAGACATATATCAATTAAACTTGAGGGCACCAAGGGAAATAATTTTGTTTGCAATAATCTACTGAATGCTGTTGAAAATTATCAGTTTTGCCTTCTTTGTGATAAAAATATGCCAGTGCAATCCCCCTCCCCCTTTTTTTTTTTTAGAAAAGAGTAATTGGTCTCTCTTTCGAGATCCTTTTTAAAATTCAGTACAAAAACCAAAATTGTTTACTTTAAACTGTTTTTCTAAAAGTGGGCATTTTTAGGGTAATAATAGAACAAAATATTATACAAATTGGGTTTGTTAACTAAAGTTCAACCAGATTAATTTTTTAACAATTTTAATTATTTATACTAATAAATATTAAACTTTGCATAAACTGAGAAAATTTTTTTTTAAGCTTTGGATGCATGACCAAAATTCTCTTAACGCACTGTTTACTCATCCATTCAAACCAAAAAAAAAAAACTAGAGTATACTTTCTGACTTACCCAAAAAATTCTAACAAACCATTTATCTCATTTGTTTCCAATTTTCACCGGGTTTTTAAAAAATATATTTTAAATTTTCAGAATTCAGGGTTATAAGAAAAATTCCTTTTTTGTTCCATGTTGGCCTCCTTAACACAAACTGTTAAACTCTGTGTTGTTTAAATTTTCAAAGGGTTTTTACAAGCTGCTCCCCAACCATATACTGGTCCACTCTCAAATAATCATCCTTTGATTTAAAAATGGGATCAATCATCACAGAACATCATGAAACATCATCCATGAAGAACGAGTCATTTACTCACCATTTAGGGTTTCCCTACTTTGTCCTATATTCCCCCCAAATCTAAAAACGCCCCAAAGTTGACTTAATAGTGACTATTTTTTTAACAAATGCAAAGCATCTGTATTAAATATGGCGCCAGCATACTTTTTAAAAAAAATCTACCCCCTTCTAATTGAGAAGCACTGCTAAAATCCAAAAAAAATTATGGTTTATATATTATAAACAATCATTTTTTCCTGTAGTATTGTACTTTCCCTCACATAAATAATTAATTAAAATTTTGAAAAATTCACACTGACACACAAAATATAGAAAAACCCCCGAAAAAAAAATAAATTTAAAAAATTTTTCATACACTAAATACTTAAATTAAAAAGTGTCAGCCCAACATTTTTCTGCACAATAAAAGGATGATGTCTTTTACACCAGTATTTATGGGGCCAAAAAATTGCCAAGTTATTTGACCTTTTCTTTCAGTGACAAAGTAATAATTTTGTTCCTATATACTTTTGTGGCAAAAATTTAAATTTTTCCAATAAATTAAAACACAGTTCTCAGTAAATTTAGAAACATGAACTAGCGCACACTTTAAGTTGCAACCAACGCCTTTTCAAGGTTTTTTACAAAATTTTATAAAAAATTTAATTTTTTCCCCCCTCAAAAATTTTCTTTGGGACATACCCGTATTCCATTTTATTATTTTTTCTTTTTTGAACTTAAACTTACACCATGACAGATGTATATCCCTTCATATTCCTTCCTGGTTCCATGCCCAGAAAATTTAACTACATAAATTTTTTTAAATTAATGGATTAAATTATCTTTTTCCTTTTCTAAAACAATAACCAAATGCACATGCAAACTCTTGCTGTAACCCTGCAGCTGAATTTAGTAATGCTGTTCTGTCCAAAACTTTTTTTTTTTTTTTTTTTTTGTGCCATTAAAAATTAAATTAACTAAGAATAGGTCACATACACAAAAAATTTTTTTGTTGATCATGGCAAGTACAGCTCACCCACATTTCTGTGCTGCATCATCCTTCATTGAACAAGACAAAAACCAACCAGAAAACCCTGTAAACCCCATTTTAAACCCCAAAGTTCCGATTAATATTGTCTCTGCTGACACATTATATCAGTTAAAATACCAAAAAAAAGACCAGCAAGGCAATCTAATTATTCTTGTTCTCATATCAGTAGAACATTAACCATAGTTGCCTGGATTTTGGGGAATCTGCAGGGGGTTTGGGTAGTAAAAACCATGAACTTGCAGGGGGTTCAGGAATTTGGGAACGGAAACACGGAGAGCCCCTTTGTGTCAAAACACGAACCAGGGGCCCCTGCAGTGGACCACAAGGCAGCTCAATCCAGCATGGCGTTGAGTTACTGTTTGCCCTCTGAAAATTAAAATTTCTTTAAATTGAAAAACAATTGTTTTTAAAGTATAGTTTATGTATATTAGTTTCACCCCTTTTTTTGTGGTTATTGTTCTGCTATTTTTTTCAGCTCACTCTTTCCCGCCCTTTATAACAGTACTGCAGCAGTTTTCTAACCCTTTTAATAAAACCCCGGGGGGTGTTTATCGTTTTCCTGAATGGTATACAGAAAATTTTTTAAAAACTGAGGTTTATTCCCAAAGGAACAGTTTTAAATCCAAAACCCTTTAAAAACATTCCTTTTAAACTGCGGGGGCCCTTTTCCTGTTTCGCTCCCCGGGTTTAAAAAAGATTCGTTGGGCCATTTTCCGTATTGCCCTTCAAACCTTACTTAAACTTGGCCACTGGTGCAAACTTGTTTTTGAAAAGATTTTTAAAAACCCAAATCAAACAAGTTACCCGAGCCAGTTTTACTCTATTATAATTTTATTTTTTACCCCCAACACCCCATCCCCACCCAAAAATAAACATAAAAAAAAATTTTTTTTTTACACATATAATTTATGAATTATACCCCCTTCTCCCAAAAAAACATCATCATCCCACAGGGGGATCAAAAACAAAATTTTTTCACCTTGAATAGGGAAAGGTCTTACCAAAAAAGGGCTGCCCCCTTTTTTCCGAAAAACCCCAAAACCTATTTATAAAAAAAACCCCCCAAAACCCCCTCCTTTCCCAGAGAGATGCGTTTTTGAATTAAATTTAAATGTAAAATGAAAAACAAAATTTAAGGGAAATTTGTTAAAAATGGAGGATTTTCATAAAACCTTTAAAATTTATTCCAGATTTGTGGGGTTTTAATTTATAAAAAAATATTTGAAAATTCAAAAAATAACCTTGACAAAAAAAAAAAAAAAAAAAAACTTAAAAAAAATCTGCAATCTAATTTTTCCAAAAAAAGAATTTTTAAAAAATTCTTAATGGCCTTCAAAAAAAAAAATCATCGAACATTAACCCTCTAAGATTTTAAAGGGAAAACGCAGAAACCCCTGAAACTACCCAGCTCAAAAAAAACTATTGAATATCATGTAAGTTCCAGAAACGTAAACCCCCATTATTTTAAAAAGTTTCTATTTTTTACTTAACATACAAATGTCTGCACTTACTCTAAACATACAAAACACACATAAAAGACATTAGTATAATTGCCAGGTAAATGCTGGGGAAAAAACCCAGGGGAGGACCCCCCGTCCTGGGGACACTGTACGCCTAATATAAATATAAACGCAGCTCTTAAACTTCTCAGAGGTTTATATCTCTACTATAATTCCACTTTTATTTTAAAACTGCTGTTTTAATTAATAAACAAACATATTTTTATGTACTATGCTCCACTTCTATTTTAAATATTGTTATACCTTTAATTTTTATTAGTACTAGTTTGTTATTATATTCAAGTGTTTTTGACTAAATGAGTAATGTATTCATTAGGATTAATATCACTTAATATTTATACTGTATATACTATCTAGTTTTGTATTTTTTATTATTATTAACAACACATCCATTTCCCACAAAGATAGGGTGGCCTGAAAAAGAAAAACTTTCACCATCATTCACTCCATCACAGTCTTGCCAGAGGTGTGCTTACACTACAGTTATAAAACTGCAACATTAACACCCCTCCTTCAGAGTACAGGCACTGTACTTCCCATCTCCAAGACTCAAGTCCAACCTCCTGGTTTCCCTGAATCCCTTCATCAATATTACCCTGCTCACACTCCAACAGCACGTCAAGCGCTCAAAACCATTCGCTCCTATCTAACATGCTCACACGTTTGCTGGAAGCCCAAGCCCCTCACACACAAAACCTCCTTTACCCCCTTCCTCCAACCTTTCCTAGGCTGACCTCTACCCCGCCTTTCCCTCCACTACAGATTTATACACTCGAAGTCATTCTAATTTGTTGGATCCTCTCTACATGTCCGAGCCACCACAGCCCTCAGGATGATAGTTTTGGTAATCACGCACCACCACCTAATTTAAAAAACTACGAATTCTCTCCATTATATTCACACCACACATTGCCCTGAGACACGACATTTCCACTGCCTCCGGCCTTCTCCTTGTTGCAACATTCACCACCCATGCTTTTCACCCATATAAGAGCATTGGTATAACTATACTCTCATATATTCCCCTCGTTGCTTCCATGAACAAAGTTCTTTTTCTCCTCAGTACTCCACTTGCCTTTTTTCCCTTGTCAATTCTATGATTCACTTCATCTTTCATAGACCTATCTGCTGACACATCCATTCCTATCTGAATACATTCACCTCCTCCAATCTTCTGTTAACCCAATTTTTTTTTATCCTCGTCACCTTACTCTATCCTATATTCACTTTTAATTTTCTTCTTTTACATACCCTACCAAACTCATCCACCGATCTCAGCAACTTCTCTTCAGAATCTCCCAAAAGCACAGTGTCATCAACAAAGAGCAACTGTGACAACTCCCACTTTGTGTTAGATTCTTTGTTTTAACCCCACACTTCTTGCCAACACCCGAGCTTTCACTTCTCATACAACCCCATCTATAAATATATTGAACAACCATGGTGACATCACACATCCTTGTCTAAGGCCTACTTTTACTGGGAAATAATCTCTCTCCTACATACTATAACCTGAGCCTAACTATCCTCGTAAAATCTTTTCACCGCTTTCAATAACATACCTCCTATTCCATACATCTGCAACATCTTCCACACTGCCCCCCCTATCCACACCTTTTCCAAATCCATAAGTGCCACAAAAACCTCTTTACTCTTATCTAAATAATGTTCACTGTAAACACACCCCCTACCCTTCCTAAAGTCTATTATCCTACTCTCCATCTTAACCTTAATTCTTTCAGTAATAACTCTACCATACACTTTACCAGGTATACTCAACAGGCTTATTCCCCTATGATTTTTACATTCTTTTGTTGCCTTTATACAAAGGAACTATGCATGCTCTCTGCCAATCCCTAGGTACCTTACCCTCTTCCATACATTTATTAAATAAAAGCACCAACCACTCCAAAACTATATCCCCACCTGCTGTTAACATTTCTATCTTTATCCCAGCTGCCTTACCCCTTTCATTCTACCCACTTCCTTCTGAACTACACTCACAGCTCCTACAAGATGTTCTTCCTCCTTACCCTATACACGAAATCACAGCTTCCCTATCTTAATCAACATTTAACAATTCTTCAAAATATTCCATCTTCCTGATGCCTATAACTCTCCTCTCCTACTTTTAACTGTCAGATTCATTCGTTCCCTAGGCTTCCTCAATTTATTAATCTCGCTCCAAAACTTTTTCAACAAAATTTGTTAACATCTCACCCACTCTCATTTGCTTTCTTTTTACATTGCTTCACCACTCTCTTAACCTCTCCATATACTCCTCCCTCCGTGCATCGCTTCTACTTTGTAAAAACCTTTCATATGCTAACTTTTTTTTTCTCTATCATCATTCAACCAATTTATCTTCTTCCCTCCTACACCCACTTTCCTGGAACCACAAACTAATGCATTCTTAAACCTACCCTTCCAATAGTTGTTTATATCTTGCTGTAACTGCCTTCTCCTTTAGCTTATAAACCTTCACCTCTGTCTTACTTGCTGCTTCCATTTTTCTTGTATCCCATCTACCTTTTACTCACTGTAACTACAACTAAAAAGCGATCTGATATATCTGCGGCACCTCTATAAACATGTACATCTTGAAGTCTACCAATACATAGTCCAACAAACTATTGTCATTATGCCCTACATCATATCTTGTATACTTATTTATCCTCTTTTTCTCAAAATGTGTATTACCTATAACTAAACTCCTTTCAATACAAAGTTCAATCGGTCTCTAAATTATCATTTACACCTGGCACCCCAAACTTATTTACCACATCCACTTTATATATTTCTCATAAATCAAGTCCATCGAGTAGTTGTAAATTCTAGTTTTTGTCTGTCTGAAATGCTCTGTATAATTGGCTTTCCTTAATGTATAAAATGTCACCAAATTTTGTTGTGTACTTTTTATTATTTTTTTTTTTCAACAAACTGGCTGTATCCTGCTGAGGCAGGGTGACCTAAAAGAAAAACACACATTTCTCTTAAAATTTAGTAATTTATACAGGAGAAGGGGTTTCTGGCCTCTTATGACATGGAGGAAGAATTCTCTTCCACTTACCCATGGATATAAGAGGAAATAAATAAAAACTATTAAGGGAAGTGCCTTGATTCTGGTGAAGGATCTTCATCCAAGAAATTGGGGCATCCTTTTCATTCATTAGATAAAACAGTTTACTCCAATTCCCCAAGTGTTTGGCCCCCTGTGGATTTAGTGTTTCCCCAGATATATCCACTATATTAATAACTGTTTGAAGAGGCTGGGCTCAAAGCTATGAAAGTATCCTGTTCAAAGGGACCTTGAGTTTCTGATTCTGTACCTTTTGCTCATCTACCTAGCCACTCACCCAGCTGGTTAAATAAACTGATCACCAATTTGTGAACCTTGTACCTATTTATGGTACACTACATAATTGTTTCAAGGAAATTAAAGTCAATATTCTAGATTTTTTACCAGCATGTTTGAAGGAGGTGAGGAGCTACACTTTAGATGATAGTCTTGTGAGAAACCATTTCCCACAATGGTAATTAAAGGTTATATAACTTAGGTACACTACGGCTTAAGATATTCTAAGACAAGAATAGTTCATAAACATTTGTTGGACTGCTTGAGGAGTTGAACTCTTTTTCCTTAGGTGTGGACACCATACATATATATTTGACCTCATAGGTAGCTAAGCTATAAAAAAAATAATATATCTTACCACTAACTTGAATAATAGTATTTTATTAATATCCAATATAATAATAGGGATTTAACACATGAATACTTCTTGTATTTATTTTCAAATTAAGCACAAAGAATGTTTATATAATTTAGAAGAACCCAGGAGCCTTTGCCATAAAACAAAAATCAAGCTTAATCTTCAATCTGCTGTTAACAGGAACAGAAATAATAATTAGGTAGTAGGTTGGTAGACAGCAACCACCCAGGGAGGTAATACTGTCCTACCAGTAGGATTATATTTTTTTTTTTTTTTTTGTCTCATAAATATGCAAGGTTTCAGATACATCTTGTTACACTTAGGTCACACTACGCATGCATATATACAGTGGAACCTCAGTTTTTTGTATGTAAAACTATACTTTTTATAGAGAATAAGTATTTTTGGGTGTGGAACAAATTAATTAGATTTACATTATTTCTTACGGGAAATGTTGATTCGGTTTATTGTCAGACTTTTTCGAATGGATTAATAACGAAAACCAAGGTTCCACTGTACCTACCCATCTGGCTTTTCTTAGAGTGAGAAAAATAATAAAAATTTATTGAAGCTGCCCTGTTAACTGTAGGCAGATATATTGTCATAAAATCTCAATCTAGGGACCACCTGTGGTTATCCCCTCAATGGAGGTTCCTTGATGCTCGGCTCTTGATACACAGAAATGAACCTAACCTCCCCTTCCTTGGATTGAATCTCATTATTTCCCACTCTACCAGGTATTGTGTTAATGTAATAAAAAATGATAGTATATTTTGTGGTCAAGAGCAGGACTGGAGATGTAGTAACTGAAGTAAACCTAATGCACTAACAGGGTGGATGCTCCATGTCTTAAATCAGGATAATATTAAACAAGTTGCACTAAAGTACTCTAATACAGCACTTTATACAGTTATAATGTAATAAACATTGAAATGAGTTAAAAGTACATTTCACTCAGTGGATTTTTTCTGTTACTTCAGAAGTTCTTTATGTTCAGTGTTTACTGTAGCTTCATTACATTAAGTCAATCAGCAGTTATAAATGATATTGCAACCAAGGAAAATAACTAAATAGCAAAGAGATATAAAAATGTGATTTAATAGATCTAACTCAAGAAAAAGAAAGCTTCTTATATTATACCTGGAGGAATCTTGACTACAGTAGCTGGATGCCAGCCATAGCGCTGGTTACAGTTAGGACTTTGTACAAAGATGGAGGAGTCTGAGAGGCACTCGGCAAACACCTCTCCACCAATGTAATAAAGTCGTACACCCTTGCCAATGTGACGTCTGGTCTGTTCCACTACTGGGTTACGGTTCACATTAGAGAGCAGGCCTAGGCAGAAGCGTTCACTGTTGCTGGGATCTGTGAAAAACTGTTTTACATTAACTTTCATACAATATTAGACCCATAAAAAGGCCCAGTTTTCAATCTTGATTTCACTAGTTCTGTTAGAGCATGCTAACGTTTTCATCAAAACTATTCTAACCTTCAATGTAAAGTATATATAAAAGATAAATTATATTTTGTGGGATGTATTTAATCCAACAAACAGTTCCAACATGCCTATTTCCCATTTTTAGGGGAAAGTTTTTTGTCCCCAAAAAAACTCATCATTTTCAGACATCAGGATTTTAAAAATTCACACCAAAGGTAATATTTTTTATGCAGATTAAAAATATGAAATCAGATCATTTTAGCATGAAATGCTTTCCTTTTGACTCTATCATATGAAGCCCTGATAGAGGACTCTAGCATTTTCATCAAAACTATTCTAACCTTCAATGAAAGCTATTTATGTAATATTTTTTTCACATTTGTGGGAAGTAAATTATTCAACAGTTCTATCACGCCTATTTCCCATTTTAAGAAAAAAAATTGTTTTTGCCCCAAGAAAAATCACTGGACTACATGTAGTTCAGTGTGGATTTTCAAAATTCCTGAAAATCAACACCAGGGGTACTATTTTTTATGCAGATTAAGAATATATGTGTGAATATATTATATACACAAATTTTCACCTGCCTTATTTGGCAAGAAGAGAGTTGCTATTTAAGCCAAAATTGCAAATTTTACCTATTTGGCACGACATATACAGTGGACCCTCGGCTAACGAACACATCGCATGACGTTACATCCGCCCAATGAAGCGTTTGAGCATAAAAATTTTGGCCTGGCTAACGATAAAAAACTCACCCAACATGATTCATCCCAAACCTGAGCGCCTCGGCTGCTCTACCATCATTGTTTACAAGCCAGGGTGGCTGGTTTCATGCATACATTCAATACATTTTGTATTATTCCACTGTTTATAGTGTTTGTAACTGCTAAATAAGCCACCATGGGGCCAAAGTAAGCTTCTAGTGCCAACCCTGCCAACCCTGTGATAAACAGGGTGAGAAATACTATCATACCATGGTCAGCTGCTGCTGTACTACTCGAAGATGTGGAGAGAGTGTTGTTGGTGTGGCTTAACAAGAAACAATTAACCCCAGAGGGTTAGCCACCCAAGAAAGTCAGTGAGTCATCGAGGACTGTAACTTATTTCCATTGGGGGGCCTTAATCTTGTCCCCCAGGATGAAACACACCCAGGTGAACAGGAAAAAATGCCTGGAACTAGTGCTCATATTGGTGAATTTAAGGCCAGCAAAGGTTGGTTTGAGAGATTTAAGAATTGTAGTGGCATACACAGTGTGATAAGACATGGCGAAGCTGAAAAATTCCAACCCCAACAAGTGTTCAATTGTGATGAAACAGACCTGTTCTGGAAGAAAAATGCCAAACAGGACCTACATTACTCAGGAGGAAAAGGCACTCCCAGGACACAAGCCTATGAAAGACGGCTAACTTTCTTGTTTTGTTGTAATGCTAGTGGGGATTGCCAAGTGAAGCCTTTACTCATGTATCACTCTGAAAATCCCAGAGTGTTCAAGAAAAAGTGTCTCATCAATACTAGAGCAGCTGATACCTTCCCATCAGCTGTATAATGCACTGCAGGGTAAAATAGCCCGGAAATCCATTACAAAATTTATGCACACTCCAGTACAACCTTGACTTCAGTACCAAAACCTCTACACTCTCTTCAGTCATCGGCAAACATCAGCACCCACAATTTAAGGTAAGAAATATTATTATTTCCATTGCATTTGTAGTCTTAAGCAGTAAAAACAATGTAGTACATCACGACAATGATCTACAATTACATACTTTTATTTTTGTAAGATCTGGAGGTCTAAAAAAAAGTTGTTTGGCTTTTTTGGGGGTTCTCAGGAACGTAATCCTATTTTTCCCACAAGTTCTTCAGTTATCTAACACGGATTTACATAACACAGCATTTTCAGGAATGTAACTACCATTTAATGTAACGGCCTACTGTATACAGTAGAAGCCCCATGTCCACTGATTTGGTATCTGCAGTTTCAGTTATCCACAGTTTACTACGACCCCAAAATACCTCTTAATTTTGCATAATAATGGGCCCAAAGTGCAAAAGTAGAGAAGCCGCGAAGTGCTTCCCATCAGTGAAAAGTGATAATTCTCCACTTATTGTGCATAATTTATCAATTAAACTTTAAAAAAAGGTATGTAAAGGACTTATATACAGCCTCTTCTCACTTAGCAACTTATATGTTTACCAATCACTCAGACTTATGACCAGCTCTCCAATCAGTATGCAAACCTAAGTAATGTACATTAGACCTGATTTCCTCTATTCTGTCTATTACAGTATACAGCACACTACTGTATAAACATTTAAAAATATACTAAAAATGTTATAAATGGTGCAAAGGTGGCATTAAAAAAATATCTAAAGATGGCTGACACAAACCCATTACCAGTATAGTATGCTCCTCATTTAACGACCAATTCATTTACCGACCTACTCTTAGGAATGAAACCCTGTCGTTAAGTGAGGAGAGGTTGTATAGGGTTTGCTTCTATCCACGGTTTTGGTCTCCATGACAGGTCATTGGAACATATCCCCTGCAGATATGGGGGTCCTGTGTACGAGAAATGTGAATGGTTTATAAACTAGAAGAGGAGGCAGTTAGGGTAAGATATAAACAACTGTTGGAGGACAGATGGGCTAGTGTGAGTATAGGCAATGGGGTAAGTTTAAGAATATGTATAGTGTTAGTGTTCAGCAGAAGTTTGTAGTTACAGGGAAGTGGGTGCGGGAGGGAAGAAGAGCAATTGGTGGATTGATGATGTAACGGGAGTAGTAAGAGAGAAAAAGTTAGTATATGAGAGGTTTTTACAAAGTAGAAGTGATGCAAGGAGGGAGGAGTAAATGGAGAGGTTAAGAGAGCGGTGACGCATTGTAAAAATAAAGCACTATGTACGGCATAAGCTGTACATAGTGGTGGTGAAGGCGGCAGCAGAGACAACGGCGTTGTCACCCTATATAACTCCAACAACATTGGAGGAGTTGGGTTCGTGCTGTCCTTTTTCTACTGATTAATCGCTTAACTTACTTGCTACACTTTATCGCTGGCTGGCACTATGACCTTTATCAACAGGTGCTGGTTTAGTATCATAGAATCACTGAAGAAGGCACATTCTCCCCTCTCTCTTCCTCCTCCACTTTGGTACTCTGCTACGAGTTCTTTCTTGAATTATGTAGTCTTTCTCAACTTCTTTACCAAAGGGCTGGCACTAGTACAATATTTTATGATGTTTTCATATGTTTTATGATCATTCATGGTTCAATAGGTTAAAGAAGCAGTATTGTTAGGCTAAGTAAAAGCTATTATTATATTTCCCTACAATATATTTGTGCACCAAATGTTTGTGAGGTTCTTGATCCCCTAACCCTTGCGAATGTGGAGGGAAACCTGTACAACCATAAATACTATATGAAAATACACCTGAAAGTCTGCGTTTTAATCCAAAAACACGGTCGGAGTTTTTTTCTCATTATGCACTGTGTGCTGCAGTATTTTTTTTTTTTTTTATACTGCACACACTGACCACACAGACCCATTCTCTCACATGTGGGCCTACCAGCTTTCTCCTGCTTGATTTGAAGCCGCTAAAATTTTGCCGTGTTAATATGTCAAAAACACTGGCTTGTAAGATATATATATGACACCAATAGTCAAAGGATTAAAACTACAAATATTTTGAGGTAAGTAATGAGTGTACTCTGTGTGAAATTTGCTTTTTATTGCCTAGTTCTTTTGCTAAGTTAATAAATGTTAGTGTAAACTTATCTGGCATTTATAAATGGAAAAAATGGCGTTCTCCTTTCCGGCGGTAGCCTGGAACCTAACCTGCCTTGTAAGTGGGGTCTTACTGTACATTATATGTATATATACACACACACATGTCCCTCTATAGCCTATGCAGTAGACATATTTCCATCACCATGGCAACTGTACTAAGCTCAGTCAGACCATTACAATTCTGGATACTGAGAATCTTCAATGCATTTTATAAAGTACACTGCTCCATGTGACTAATGTGTACTGCACATGCAAAATTACTTATTGAAGTGTTACATCAAGTACAGCATATACTGCATATGCAGTGACTCCTGGTTTAACGTATGGTTTCAAATAGAATTTTAATATTTTTAAAAAACAATGCAGTATCTTTTATGAAAGCAAAGTACATGAATTGCTGGCAAAAAACTTTTATGTTCTGGGATTTGCTGAGAAATCCTCTATTTAATTCTGAAACATATTAAGTGTCATATTAGGAATTAGTCAACTTATACTCATTTTTGCAAGAACTGGCATTAATATTTCATTTAGAGCCACGAGAACGCAGGAGGAATGATGGTGCATGAGACAAGCAGCACTGACCTGTGAAGCCATCCACAGTGAGTGATGGCTGCGAGGCATGGAAGGTCTCTCCTACACGTGTGTTGAGCTCATAGTAAGATATTGAACACCAGAATGCAGGCTCACAGTAGGTCACAGGCTGGGCATCCAGTGGTGGACTCGGAGATACAGGGATCATACCTGTAAAAGGAAAAAAAATCACCTTCAATATTCACTGTTAAAATATTTCATTAATCTTTAACTGCCTGATGGTGGGAGGCAAATAATGAATGACTGATGTGATGTAAATGTAAAGGTCATGTCTAATGAACGATATTGTCATGTAAATGTAAAAGTCTACTAATGTCTACTTTTACTAAAAGAATGAGGCAAATATACAGGCTTGTGTGATGAATAACACATAGATCACAACTACCTGGGTAAACTGACTTGATTGAATTGTCTTGACTTACTGGACTGACCTGACTGACTTACTAACTAGACTTACTGTCTTAACCCTTAAACGGTCCAAACGTATACGTTCTCTTGCGTAGCACCCCAAACGTATACAGTGGACCCTCAACCAGCGATGGCATCGATTAACGATAAATCTGACTAGCTATACATTTTAACGCAAAAATTTTGCCTCAACTAGCGCTTAAAAACCCGACCAGCGCTATTCGTTCCGTACGAGATGCGTCCACTTTGGCCTGAGCGCGCCTCACTTGTCCCGTGGGTGCCAGTGTTTACGAGCCAGCCACCACGGTCGCTTCCAAACATACAACTGGAACATTTCATATTATCACAGCCTTTGTAGTGATTGCACCTGCAAAATAAGTCACCATGGGCCCCAAGAAAGCTTCTAGTGCCAACCCTACAGCAAAAAGGGTGAGAATTACTATGGAGATGAAGAAAGAGATCATTGCTAAGTATGAAAGTGGAGTGCGTGTCCCTGAGCTGGTCAGGTTGCATAATAAACCCCAATCAACCATCGCTACTATTGTGGGCAAAAAAACGGCAATCAAGGAAGCTGTTCTTGCCAAAGGTGCAACTATGTTTTCGAAACTGAGATCGCAAGCAGTAGAAGATGTTGAGAGAGACTTATTGGTGTGGATAAACGAGAAACAGATAGCAGGAGATAGCATCTCTCAAGCGATCGTATGTGAAAAGGCTAGGAAGTTGCATGACGATTTAATTAAAAAAATGCCAGCAACTAGTGATGTGAGTGAATTTAAGCCAGCAAAGGTTGGTTTGAGAGATTTAAGAAGTGTTGTGGCATTTATAGTGTGATAAGGCATGGTGAGGCTGCCAGTTCGGACCACAAAGCGGCTGAAAAATATGTGCAGGAATTCAAGGAGTACATAGTGAAGGACTGAAACCTGAACAAGTGTTTGTGACAAAACGGCCTGTTTTGGAAGAAAATGCCAAGCAGGACCTACATTACTCAGGAGAAAAAGGCACTCCCAGGACATAAGCCTATGAAAGACAGGCTTACTCTGTTGATGTGTGCCAATGCTAGTGGTGATTGCAAAGTGAAGCCTTTATTGGTGTATCACTCTGAAACTCCCAGAGTGTTCAGGAAAAACAATGTCCTCAAAGGCTAATTTGTGTGTGCTGTGGAGGGCAAACAGTAAGGCATGGGTCACTAGGGACTTTTTCTATGACTGGTTACACCATGCATTTGCCCCCAATGTGAAAAATTACCTAATTGAAAAGAAATTAGACCTTAAGTGCCTCCTGGTATTAGACAATGCTCCTGGTCATCCTTCAGACTTGGCAGAGCGACTTTCTAGGGACATGAGCTTCATTAAGGTGAAGTTTTTGCCTCCTAATACCACTCCTCTCCTGCAGCCCATGGACCAGCAGGTCATTTCCAACTTCAAGAAACTGTACACAAAAGCTATGTTGAAAGGTGCTTTGTAGTGACCCTCAGAAACTCAACTGACACTAAGAGAGTTTTTGAAAGATCATTTTACCATCCTCAATTGTGTAAACATTATAGGTAAGGCTTGGGAGGAAGTGACTAAGAGGACCTTGAACTCTGCTTGGAAAAAACTGTGGCCAGAATGTGTAGACAAAAGGGATTTTGAAGGGTTTGAGGCTAACCCTGAGAATCCTATGCCAGTTGAGGAATCCATTGTGGCATTGGGGAAGTCCTTGGGGTTGGAGGTTAGTGGGGAGGATGTGGAAGATCTGGTGGAGGAGGACAATGATGAACTAACCACTGATGAGCTGCTAGATCATCTTCAACAGCAAGAGGGCAGACCTGAGGAAACTGCTTCGGAGGAGGGGAGAGAGAAATTGAAGTTGTCTACTTCTAAGATTAAGGAAATGTGTGCAAAGTGGCTTGAAGTGCAAACCTTTTTTGATGAAAATCACCCTGACACGGCTACTGCAAGCCGTGTTGGCAACCTGTACACTGACAATGTTGTGAACCACTTTAGGAAAGTCATAAAGGAACGAGAGGTACAGGTATCTATGGACAGATATGTTGTGCGACAGAAGTCCAGTGACTCTGAAGCTGGTCTTAGTGGCATTAAAAGAACAAGGGAAGTAACCCCAGAAAAAGACTTGCTACCTCAAGTGCTAATGGAAGGGGATTCCCCTTCTAAACACTAAGAAGATCAACAGTCTCCCCTCCTCCCATCCCATCAATCTTCAATAAAGGTAAGTGTCATGTAACTGTGCATGTCTTCTTCAGTTTGTGTGTATTAAAATTAATATTTCATGTGGTAAAAATTTTTTTTTTCAATACTTTGGGGTGTCTTGCATGGATTAATTTGATTTCCATTATTTCTTAAGGGGAAAATTAACTTGACTAACGATGAGCTCTCAGGAACGGATTAATATCGCTGGTTGAGGGTCCACTGTATATACGTTTTCTTTGTCCTTCATTCAACATTGCCACGATAACCCTGAGTCGCCTAGACATGAGAGAATGGGTGTGCGCACTCACTGTGCACCATATTAAAATAATTGGGGATGCTCTTTTTTCCTATTAAAAAAACTACTTTTGTTTTTCCTCAAAAAATTTGGGGCGCTACGCGAGAGAACGTATATATACGTTTGGACCGTTTAAGGGTTAACTGACTGGACTGGCTTAGACTTAGTAACTAGACTAATTTCGCTTACTGATTTGACTTTCTAACTTATCTAACATGACTTACCGACTGGACTGACTTAAAGTTATACTTTTTCACTGAAGAGGATCCTGACAAATCTAGAAACAGAGCTCTGAAACAGGGTCTACAGCAGCTGATGATGCCTTACTGTCAGGGGTATAATGTACTGCAGGGTAAAAGAGCCCAGAAATTCATTACAGAATTTATGCACACTATAGTACAACCATCAACTTTAGTACCTCAACCCAGTAGGGCCACAGCATGACTCCACTCTCTTCACAATCTTCAACAAACACCCGCACCCACAATTTAAGGCAAGAAATACTATTATTTCTGTTACATTTGTAGCCTTATGCAATAGAAATAAAAATAATCATGACAATGAACAACAATTACATGATCATTTTTATTTTTTAAGATCTGGGGTTCTCACGAACACAACCCTATTTTTCTCATAAGTTCTTCAGTTTATCTAACACGGACTTGCCTCATACAGCATTTTCAGGAACGTAATTACCATGTAATATAATGGTCTACTGTACATAATCTTTTGTTTTTATTTTTAGGTCACCCTGCTTTGGTGGGATAGTCAATTTGTAAAATATATATATATATAATATATATATATATATATATATATATATAGATATAAATATATATATATATATATATATATATATACATACACACACACACACACACCCATACCTTACCTTTGAAGAGTTTCAAGAGTTTAACTACTCTCAGATCCTGGCCATGGGCCAGGCTTGTCCGGTGCTTGCATGATCAACCAGGCAGTTGCTGCTAGAGGCCTGCTGCCCCACATATCCATCACAGCCTAGTTGATCTGACACCTGATGATACTTGTCCAGTTTCCTCTTGAAGGCTTCTACACTTGTTCCAGCCATGTTTCTGATATCTTCTGGTAAGATGTTGATACAGTGTTCCCTTTTGGTCCCCACTGCACCCCTGCTTCTCACTGGGTTTATTTTACACTTCCTCCCATATCTCTCACTCCAGTATCTTGTTATGGCAGTGTGTAGATTTGGGACCAGGCCCTTGAGTACTTTACAGGTGTATATTATCATGTATCTCTCCTCCTGTGAGTACATGTGCTTTACTGGCTCAGTGCAAGCTGTACACGATCTCTGTATTTGTTCCAGTTCTGATATTTCTCCTGCTTTGAACAGGGCTGTCAGCACTGAGCAATATTTTTATGAGGGAGCAATAGTGATTTGAAGAGTGTCACCATCGGCATTATTTCCCTTGTTTTGAAAGTTCTCAATACCCACCCCGCTGTATAGTCCTTGTGGCTTAGCGCTTCTTTTTGATTATAATAATAATCAATACCCACCCTGTCATCTTCTTGGCTGTCGTGATCTTTGTCTTATGTTCCTTAAAAGAAAGGTCAGCTGACATGATTATTCCCAGGTTTTTTACATATTCCTTTCGTTCTATTTGGTGATCCTCTTGAGTTTTGTATATAGTGTTCCTCATTCTTTCCATACCTAAAGCAGCTGGAACTTATCACCACTGAACATCATGTTCTCCACTGCCCACTGGAAAACCCTGCTTATGTCCTGTAATTTTTCAGTGTCCTTTACTGTAGTGACTTTCATGCTTATTTTAGTGTCATCTGCAAATGATAATACAAAAGTGTGATGGGTGTTTTGATCTAAGTTTGCTATAAGGATGAAAAACAGTAGAGGTGCCAGGACAGTGCCTTGGGGCACTGAGCTTTTGACCTTGCTGATGCTGGCTCTTGCTCTGTTTACAACTACTTGTTGTGTTCTGTGTGTTAGGAATCCGAAAATCCATCTGCCTACCTTTCCCATAATGCCTATGGCCTCATTTTGTGCGCTATCACTCCATGATCGTATTTATCAAATACCTTCGCAAAATCTGCGTAAATTGCATCTGCATTTTGGACTTCTTCCAATGCCTCCGTAATTCTGTCATAATGGTTCAGCAGCTGTGACAGGCATGATTGTCTTGCTCTAAAATCATGCTGGTTGTGCTGGTCAATGAAATTTGTAATCTGCCGTATCATCACTCTTTCGATGATTTTTATGATGTGAG